CTCGAAGCTGTTTGCCTGAAAAGTCTACTCCAGTATAGACATCTATGCTGTGAGAAGTAGATGTCCCCGCATCGTAACAAGTAGGAGCAATCCAACGACCTTGAGACATATCGAGTCGCGTTTGCTTTTGATCTCAAGCCATTTTTTGCCGTAAGAAATGCTCTTCGATAATTTTTCCTTCAATGGAACACGCCGTGCGGAGGAAGTCAGCTCAGAAGCTCCCAGCTTTCATTGGACCTGCGACTTCAGAACACTGCCTCTCAATCACGGGCCAGCCAATAGGCAGGGTAAATGCCTCCACCATACTGCTTAATAGACAGAACAACAAGCCATGATCTGATCTTTGAGCCCTGATTCGCAACTATATCTAGGTAGTGTACCCTGTACCTGATTTCGTTTCTACCGTGGGTGTAAATGACAGAAGTCTTGGATGATGTGAGAGCCAGATGGAGAAACAAGAGAGGATTGAGTGCCACATGATCATCAACTCAAGACAAGAACAGCAGGAAGTTCATAATAGTAGTAGTCGCTAGCTGCTCATTCCAATAGTGATACACGAAAAGGAGCACTACTTGGCGGCGAATAGCCCACCGGCGGTGGCATCTACGACCTTTCGCCGAACGTCATGCCACAGATAATTTCATCGCCCCGGGGACTTCTGAACCCTTACATCGATAACCCGTTTGGCCCAATGATTAAAAATGGTCGCGTCACCAAGGGCAATATTGCGATGTATCTGGGCCGTGGACGACCTTCTTGACGCCCTGCTTGTAGCTATTCAGTTGACGAGTGGACGAATATGTGATGCCCTAACTCATACATCATCCCCTCCCCCATCAACAAAGCGTCTGCTGCGCTTTTGTTGTAGAAGTAGATTAAGGACTGTACTGTCATCGTGCCTATGGACCTTGTAGAGTCACTGATGAAACGATGGGAGGCCTTTGAGTAGGGAAGGAGAGAGAAGATCCCTCTGCCTTGCGTTACGTACCGTTTGCCACTCCTCGTCAGAATGGACCGCCTACTTAATAAGCTCCAATGTAGCAAAGGTGGGATACTAGATCGTGAACCTGAAGGCCATGCAAAGTCACGCTGGATGTCTCTGGTTTCAATCGAAAGAGGGACTAGCGCTCCGTTCTGAGATGGTCATCACCCAAACAACCTGCGATAGACGACGACACGATCCAATATAGTTGACAAAGGCCCTTTAATTGGTTGAACTCCAAAGTCACATTGCGAAATGCCGCGCCGTTGCCGCGAAACGATGTGATAAGCTCACGCATCTACACGCGACCGTCCCCCTTCAATCTTCGACGCCGGTACAGATTGCGGGCAAATACAGAACCTGGTACATACAAGAGTTTGACCACAAAGTTCCATCAAGCGGTCAAGGAAAGGTGGCTGTGGAGGCTACTACAAGTTAGGCGGAGAATGTCAGACCAGGGAGACATACATTGAACCCCCCGAGGGCTGGGAACAAATATACGCGCGCTAGAAAAGGGATCGTCGACATCGTGAGGCCCCGAACTGGCAGGTCTGCTCAAAGTAGCGGCATTGCGGAAAGCAGGAACCTCGAGGAGCATTTCACATTGTCCAAATGGGCTCTTATTGAAGATAATGGGAGAAACAGTTGTATAGCCAGGCCAGGAAAGCTGAGTACCGCTCAGAGTGACAGCATGATCTAGCAATGATATCCCACGGACCGAACCTGTCGTGGGGACATATCATGCGAGCAATGAATTACAATGAGCGTGGTGATCCAGTCTTGATTCCATGTTGACAACTACTCTGTACAAACAGCAAGAGACCTCTCCGCGAGAGGCTTGATAGACTTTTTCTCATTTGCACTTTCAAAGCAGCTTCATCTTTTCCCTTTTGAGTGACCGCTTTACGTGTGCGTCACCCACGTCCAAATTTTGCAATTTCCCGAAACCAGAACCAAGAAAATACACCGGCAGACTGCCCTGCCAAAACCGTGACATGGGCACGCTTAAGAAGCCATGTAGGTGCTGGCATCGATGCCCTCCTTGGGGAACTCACTGAAAAACGCGTTAGATACTTGACAACAAAAGCATAGGTTTGAGAGAAACTTACGGAAGAGCAACCTCGAAGCGCTTCTCAATAGCCTTGAGAACCTCCTGGTCCTGGTCAGTGCTCACAAAGGAGATGGCAAGACCCTTGGTACCGAAACGACCGGCACGACCGACTCTGTGCAGGTACGAGTCGGCATCGGCGGGCAGATCGTAGTTGATGGCCAAGTTGATACGCTCGATATCGATACCTCTGCCGAAGACGTCGGTAGCAACGCAGATACGCTTGTTAAACTCCTTGAACTCCTTGTAGCGACGGATACGCTCCTCCTGGCTGACGCCGGAGTGAACGGCGATGGAGGGGAAGTTGCACTCTCTCAGCAACTTGTCCAGCTCGGTCGCACGCAGCGTGCTCTTGACGAAGATGATGACCTGGTTGAACTGAAGGTCGTCCAGGAGCTCGTTGAGCTTGCGGTTCTTCTCACGCTCCTCGAGCTTGATGTAGTATTGCTGAAGACCGTGCAGGGTGAGCTTGGTGTCCTCGTCGACGTAGTGCTCGGTAGGGTTCTGCATGAACTTTCGGCAAATGGGCTTGATCTCATCGGACAAGGTGGCCGAGAACATCATGACCTGCTTCTGGGTAGGGGTAGCGCGGAAGATCTCCTGGACGTCACGGCGCATGTCTGGTTTCTGTTAGAGACTGGTCGGCGGCGGATACGAGGCCGTAACTCACCAATCTGGTCGAGCATCTTGTCGCACTCGTCGAGGACGAAAATGCGGACGCTGCCGAGGCGGAGAACCTTGTCGCGGACCAACGCGTTAAGTCGACCAGGGGTGCCCACAATGACGTGGGGACAGGTCTCCTTGTTCTTGATCGTCTCGACGTCCTTCTGGATGGGGGTACCACCGTAGAAGACACCAGTCTTGATATCGGGCATGTACTTGCTGAAACGGTTGTACTCGTTGCGAATCTGGAAGGCGAGCTCACGAGTGTGGCACATAACCAACACGGAGACCTCGCCCTGAACAGGCTCAACTTGTTGCAGGGTCGTCAGAACGAAGACGGCCGTCTTTCCGAGACCAGACTTGGCCTGGCAGATGATATCTCCACCGAGGAGAGCCTGAGGAATACAGGTTTGTTGGACTGTTGGATCGCGCCGAAGTTAGATATGTGTTCCAAGAGCAGAAGAACGACGTAGAGGGCGTGCAAAGGGCCCGTCCATCTGCGCAAAGAAGCCATTTTGTCGAGTTGGTCTCCTCCTCCACCGACAACAACACGCCAATCGATCAATGAAGATGATGGCTGGGGCAGAGCACGAGTCGCGAGCGTCGGCGTCATTTGCGCTCTGTGTCGCTCGCGGCTGTGATGCAAAAGAAGCCAGACCGCTGGGAGGCAAGGCTCTAGCAGCGAGACCGACCAGATGAAGTGCACTCGGGAACACCACAATGTTCGCGCGGCCGAGGGGTGCTATCACGCTTCCCCCGAAACGGCCGCTTGTATAATCCACCTGTCACCGGTGGATTCGCGAGCAGTGCCCGTACAAAAACTTGGATGCCCAACTTGACTCCCGCTTCTCGGTACGTTTCTATCTCTCTTCTTCGGTGGCGACGTCGATGGCTTTTTGTTCTTGCGTGGCTTGCGAGATGGACGGACGCTTTGCTGATGGGGGAGGGGATGATGTATGGGTTAGGGTATCATAAACTCAGGACTGACCCTCCGAAGGATGCTCGAAACCGCAATCGCCAATAGCGCGGAGAAGCTCGGGCTTCAAGAGGAAGTCGCGGAAACCAGTCGAGTGGATGCCGACATAGCTGCCCTTCTTGTCGACGTTGTTACCGGCGGCAGCGTCAGCCTTCTTTCCGTTGGAGGCGGCCGCAGTCTCGTTGGTCTGGAGCTCCTCGTCGGAGTAGTCGATGAGATCCTCCTCAGCAGACATGTTGTCAATTGTCGGGGGTGTCGTTATTGAAGTGTCGGTAGGTAAAGGGTCGTTGTACTGATGCGCAACGACGAAAAAGGTCCCAAGGCTGCGGATGCGAAGCTTGGGGTGTCAGGAGACGTGAAGATCTGTGTCGCGTAAAGAGGAAGGTGCGTCGAAAGACTATAAAAATCGCAGGAGGAAAAAAACCGCGGGTTCGTGTCGAGAAAAATGCACGACAAGCGGTGGGATTAAAAGCGGATGGCAATTGGAGTTGCAGGGTTGGGAGGCGTGTTGGGAGGAGGCGCCGTAGTTGATGTGGAAGTGGAAGATCCAAAGACGACGTGGAACTGGAGGCGAAAGGTGAGGCGGGCAGCGCAGGTCAAAAGCTTTCGCGTAGGGGAAAGGCGGCTGAGTCCCTCCCCGAAGGCGACGTCATGTGACCAGACCCGTTTTTGGAAAGAGCACTGCACCTAAATTCACTGTGTGCCAGTCAGGCCTCGCTCCCACCTCGGGTACCTTACGCATACACGCATACCACCACCACCACCACCACCACCACCACCGCTACTACTTCTTACTCTTGTAACGTCTATAATCGCTCTGAACGATCCTCCAGTCCTGATAAGCAGACATCTGTTTTAAGTGACGACTATTTTGGCCTTCAATTCCTTCTTATTTCTTGCCGTTAATATCATAAGTGCTCTGACAGCATCTTGGTGGTGGTAGTAGTAATAGTACCTAGATAGGCCTGGTTGCTACTGGTACACAGTGCCCGATTACCTTATGTAGTCAATTTATTCCCACCCTCTGGGAAGACCGTGTCCATATATCATGTACATACACGGTGGACGCCCGCCTTCAACCTTAACCTTTGCTTTGGAGAAACATTCATGTTTGGCTTTTGGCAATCATAAACCTCACCACCCCTGCAAAAGTTTCTAAAACAAAGGTCCGAACTGACTCTCGTTGCAACGCAAGACTTCGATGCCACTCAGGCTCTGAAACGTGGGACAAAATTCGCAAGGGAGGGAACCAAACGAGACGAGAGAAGAAAATGGCAAAGCCCAAAAGCGAAAGCCTGCCAAACCGGCACGCATACACACGGGTATCCTACCTGCACCAGGCCGCCTCCTACCTAGCGACTGTGCAGGTCCAAATCCCAGACGCGGACGCGGACGCCGACTCATCACAACCTCACAAAGACGCTCATCAGTTCGCCGCCAGGCTCCAGAAGCTACGCTCCACAAACGAAAAGGTCGCTCGTCGGTTCGTCTCCGATATCCGAGCCGTCTCTCTCAAGGCTCAGATCCGCCCGAGCCCGTCGGTCAAGCAGATGATGTGCAAGTTCTGTGACTCGTTGCTCATCGAGGGCAAATCGTGCGCTACGACGGTGGAGAATCTGAGTAAAGGCGGAAAGAAGCCCTGGGCCGATGTCATGGTTACGAAGTGCAGGACCTGCGGCAATGTCAAGCGGTTTCCGGTCAGCGCGCCGCGGCAGAAGCGACGACCGTTCAGGGAACCCAAGAGTGGTGAAGGGCAGGACGGACGGGATGATGGTGGACACGACGGCTGAAGGGTCTGCTCAGTTGACTGGAGGTGAATGAGAGTTTGATGTCTTCTTTTCACCGGAATTTAAGCCCACCAAGTGGTCTCCGAGTGGTAAGCCGCTGTCGAGAGCCTCCGAGGCAGAAGAGACCGGGCTTCCCACATTGAAATGTGCAGCCTATTGAGGTTCTGCCGCAAGTCGAGAGGCCATAACCCTTGCGTAATCTTATAACAGGTATGAGTCATTTGAGAATAGAGAAGCATCCGACTTGCTAACAGTGACGTTAGAATCGCCCGCAAAGCGCGTAGCTTATAGATCAGCTCTATCATCAAGCTAAAGATGCTCCCAGAAGAAGCTGGAACTGGACGCCTAGCCCCAAGCTACCACCACAGTCTAGTCCAGGCCCTGTCAATGGCTGTTGGTGACCTTTGCCCCGAATCGGACGCGGCGAGGAGAGCAATTCTCGTGGAACACAGACTCGTCATCGTGATAGCCGCGAGAGCGGAGCATGAGAGGGTCTGAGGTGTCTCTGAATGGATTTGCCAATGACTTAGATATTGTCAATATAATTCCGAAGCTTACAAGTCAGAAATTTTCGCTGCTGCTACCATTGAACCAATACTATCTTTTGAGGCCGACGCAGCTATGCCTTAGCATACCGCGCGATGGATTCCATCCTCCATCTTTCTGACTCCCTCTCCAGCCTTCTTGGCAGTACCCTCCTTCTTGTGCTTCTCCTCATCACCCTTGACGCGCACCCGTCTGCGGCTGTGATGCTTCTTCAGAACCTGCAAATCGATCTCATCATTCTCGATGAGCGTCTCCGTGACCTCGACAATGTCCGTCAATAGCCGCCCAAGCAAATCGAACGTCATGGTCTCGCGGACAACGACACGGAGGATCTCAATCTTTTCCTCGTTGGGCGGGAGCGGGTAGTTGGGAATGATCCAGCCCTTGGCACGAAGCATGAGGGAGACGGTCTCCTGCTTAATGTGCTCGTACTTGGCCTTGAACTCGTCCGTCAGACGGAATGAGACGACGGGCAGACCGGCAACGTAGTCGGCCGATGTCTCCCCCGGTGCGGCACTCTCGCCTCCGACGGCAGTGGCGGCCTGGTTCACAATCTTCTTCACGGCGCCGCTGGCTTCCTTGTGAGGTGCGCGGCGGTGGATGTCGGAGACGACGGTGTACCAGCCCGTGGCCTCGAGGCTCTGTGCGAGTAGGCGGGCATTGGAGAGACAGTTCTCCATGATGGAGCGGTAGCCATCGAAGCCTAGATGAATGAGGTTGTAGTATTGCACGATGACCTGGGCACCTGGGCGGGAGAAGTTGAGAGTGAAGGACTTTTCTGTGCCTCCGAGGTAGTGAAGCTCGAAGATGAGGTCCTCTGGCAGGAAGGACTGGTCTCGCCAGATGATCCAGCCAAGACCGGCATAGACGAGGCCGTACTTGTGACCTGAGACATTGATTGACTTGACGCGGGAGAGCTCAAAGTTCCTGCGGAATGTTAGCATATGGCAGACTGAGAACAACTCGATGGGACGTACCACTTGGAGCCGCCAACCCCCGCGTGGGTGAAAGGGGCGATGAAGCCTCCAGAGGCGGCGTCGACGTGAATAGGAATGTCGATGCCCGTCTCTTCCTGATACTTGTCAAGGATCTGTGAAATCTCCTCAACGGGCTCGTAGTGTCCCGTGTATGTGCTGCCGAGGATGACAAAGACACCGATGGTGTTCTCGTCGACATTCTCTCTCACAAGCGCTGGGTCCAGACGGTAATGACTCTTCTTGCTGACGGGCAAGATGCGGGCCTCGACGTCAAAGTAACGGGCAAACTTCTCCAAGGCGACCTGCGCATTGGAACCCATGAGAATGTTGGGCTTGGAGGTGTCTTTGCCCTGCTCCTTGCGCTTCAGCTGCCATCTGCGCTTCATGGCGAGACCGCCAAGGTGGATAGCCTCGGAGGAGCCCGTGGTAGCGGAGCCGAGGGCCTTTTCACCGGGCTGGACACCCCACAGGTGGGAAATGATACTGATGCAGCGCTGGTGCATCTCCATCATGGCGGGGTACTCATCTGCGTCTGAGAGGTTCTTGGAGAGGTTCTCCTGCATGAGTTGGGTGGCATTGGGTTCCATCCATGTTCCCACGAAACTTGGGCATGCTGTTAGTTGGAATGCTCCTGCTGAGAATGCCTTGGATGCTCACCTAGCCAGGTTAAGGTTGGGTTTGCCATCGAGGTCCAGCTCATCCCTGATCATTTGGAAGACGGTGTCTCCCGGGGCGCCTTCATCGGGGATTTTATACTTGGGAATGTTGGTTTGACTGGTGTATCGGCTGTCATAGGGCTGGATATGTGATGATGTGCTTTGACTGAGAGCATTGTCATTGCCCGCGGCTGTGATGTGAGTTGCCTGGAGGCGTTGGACAATGTCCTCTGGATTGACCTGCACATGGTGTCAATTCCGTTGTAGTATCATCGTATGATGCATCAATCATCGGTGAAGGATGATAGCTGAGACCTACGTGGCTTGCGAGAGGCATATTGACGTTTGGTAGCTTTGGATATCGTATCAAGGATCTGAATGGAAATCGGTATGCACTGGAAGGGGAAGATGCGATGGATTGATGTTTTGATCAAGATTGCCAAGTCTGGGGGATCACTGCTTGAGGCTTAAATATAACAGCAGGCCGCAGACCACGAAGAATGATGTGCATTGGAGGCATCCGTAGCTAAGGTGACCGTCAAGCCGATGATGAGGGATGAATGACGACATACGGTAGACCGAGCGGAGTACGGGAGTTTCCTTATGGTCAAGTTTTGTCGGAAATGGTAGCTCCAAGTGCATGAAAGACACGCCTCATAGCCCCAGATCACGGGCCGAAGAGGGGAGGGAATCGCGATGGGCTAGACAGGAATGATGTCTCTGACCTTTTAGTGCGAGGGCCTCCAGGGTTCTCTGCCAAGGCCATGGCCAACTGCAGTTGGTCAAGTTGGTGGTGCAGCATCAGCTCGTCAACTTTTGCTGGGGACGTGGAGCAGACAGTGAACGGGGGGGAGAACTGGACTGGAGCAGGTACGATCCAATGCCGAGTTTGCCGGTGGAGTTCCTCTTTGATCAAGTACGTAGGTACGAATATGGTCGATGACTTGCGTGTCGCGCCAGTGCAGCTGAGAATTGGCTTTTTCCGCTGGACGAGTAGCCGAGGAGAAGGAGTTTCTGTTACGTGCTATGACATGTCTGACATGTTTGGTGAGGCACCGTAGGTGCGTAAGGTATTCGTAGGTAACTTGCAAAATGCAGGCTGGCAGGGAAGGAACAATTGGATCTGCGATCCAATGCTCAGACGGTCTGGCCCTACAGAGTGGATGAGTGACGGCATTTAACATTGGGAAGCTGCGACTTGGGGCCCGGACCTGAATAGCCGGGGGGCTCCTTCCGCTCCTCCCTCCAGACTCCAGTGGCAGCTCGGGTGGGCCCCGTTCCCGTCTTGGCACTGCACTTTCGCAGCAGGTACGCCGGCAGGCGGCAGACGGCAGGAACCCAAAATAAGAGGTTACCGTGGAATCCGGAGGCGATCATTCTTTCCTAGACCTTTCTTGCCTACGATACCTTACCTACCTCACCTTACCCAGATCAAGCTATTTTTCGATGTTTCTCATCTTCTTGCTCAACAATGTCGAGTCGTCTCTCTAGGCGAGGTCGTCCCAGCAGACTGTCATCTTCCTCGACGATAGACCTCCGTACTCCGTACCTAGGCTACAACGGCTACGAACCACAGCGCGATAGTATCCAGCCTAGGCATCTGAGACTGACGCATCATGAGTTGACTCAAGAGGAAGCTGACAACTTTCGCTGCAAGACCAAATTCCTCAACAAAGCGCATACCCTCAAACAGCGCCCGACTACATAGTCCCGGGCATCACCTTCAACTTACTAGAGCCAGGGGACTGAATTGCCATTTCGATTCTGGGTTGTCTGAACCTCTTGACATTGACTGAGAGAGGTCCTCTTTTGATCTACAAGAGCCCTCCAGAAGGTCCAATGACACCATGTTACCCATGATTCAAAGGAAAGGAGCCAGGAGACGACGCAAGTCTGGTGGATAGCCCACCGAGGTCATCTTCCATCGATAACCGACGCTTCAAATCCAGGGGTTCACAAGCTAAGACTACAATCTGTGGATCGTCCAACAACGCGTGTCCGATAAACCTTAAAAGAGTATCAAGTCCCGGTGAACATTCATCGAACCGACAACAGCGGGAGAAGGCAAGAAGGCACCATCGGAAATAAGATTAGATTGTCAGCGCTGACGGGGGTTTCCCAGTGTGCATTCACATTGGTTCATTCGCCAACAAGAGATAAGCCAGGTTCTCCCAGGAAGCCCAGCTTTTCCCGGCCGAAAAGAACGGCTGTTGATTGGTCGATACGGCTTATTTCGACCAAAGTCCCGTTGCAGTGACTCGCCAAGTCTCGCGCAATGGCCGCGGCTGGGCCGAATGGACGGCTACAGTGGCATTAGCATTGGCGCGCTGGCAGCCAGCCGTGGCTTTCACACAGACTCAGACTCAGAGCCCAGGACTCTTGGGACAGGGCACCTGGCACCTAGGTAATCTTTCAAGTTCGAACTGGCACGAACTGGCAGCTCAGTGTTTGTCTGAACTGCGGGAACGATGGCCAGGCAGCCAGGCTAAACGTGCCAAAGTACGGACACTCCAGACATCAGACGAAGGTTACCTGAAGCCGTTTGCAGTTGGTTCGTCAATTGTTCGTCCTCCCCGTTTTTGCTCCTCGGACGATCAGCGGCATGCACCAACTCCCGGATCGGTGGCAGGGGCACATCGGCAGCTTTGTGATCTGCTGATCCTCACGTTTCTCGGACAAAGGATGGGAGGCAGAGCAGCTCGATATGGGAAGAAGCCGGGCTGCCAGAATCCCTTCGTCTTTCCAGCCAGCCAGACCAACAAGCATCGAGCCACCAAGGCGTCGACTCTGGACCAACAGAGAGTCAGCTTTAGGTATCCCCCGGCCCCGACTTGTACTAGAGCCTAGAGGTCGACAGGTGTGGATCAGAGTTGTCGCCTATTGTCCTTCCAATGTCACCATGCCCCCGGCGAACCATTCTTCTTTTCCCCTCGCCTCCTCCACAGCCCCTCGGATGTCGCTACCCCAATTTAGGAAGGTCGACAAACGGCCGCTGGGCCTGCGGGCTGTCGCGTCGCTGCTGCATTTGGTGTCGTGATAGCACGCTAGAGGACCGATTTCTTCTGGTCCCCTTGGGTCCCCCGTCTCTTCCAGTGCCGCAAGTCGCCGACAAGGCCCCAAAAGAGGAACCCACACACACATACACGGGATGATATTGGGGGGATAGATACGGGATAGTGAGGGTACGGAGTAATAGAGAGTCGACTCATGGGTACCGTTGGGCGCTCCATTCTTTCGACTGCGGCGAATCTCAACCCAAAAACACACAACGGGCACACACTTTCTCCTTTGCAGAATTCTTGGAGATCACTACATCAAGGCCTGAAGTCATCTTGCCTCTTGTTGGTGTTCAATCTGGACATCTTCAGGAAGTGGGACTTTGACTCGTCTGGCGGGCTGACTCTACCTTGTCACATTGTCTTGGTGTCTTGTTAGCCTGCAAACTGCCGACCGGCACCACCTTCGCCGCCGCCGCCGCCATCTTTTCGCTTGATTTGATTGAAAAAGCCCTTGGCGCCCGCTGTCCCCAGTCTCCCCCGTTGTGGCCTTGGGGCCTTCGTTTCGTCCTTTTGCTTATCTCGTCGGTCGCCCTTCAGCCCATCCGCAATCGGCGCACCTTAACTCTCACCTTTCAATCTACTCCGTCGACAGTAGAGCGAAGGAGAGAGGCACAGTCGTCACGATGCCGTCCATTTTTCGCAAACGTGGCGAGCCCGAGGAGATCACGCCCTACCCCGCCCTTGACGACGATGCCGAGGCCACGGGCATCGAGCCGCTGAAGGCTCTGGCTCAGTTCGAGAAGGCACACAAGCTCGATCCGAATATGCCAATTGATGAGCTCAACGATGTCGATACCGCGCTCGCTACCGGAAATGCCGAGAAGGGTCTCGAGATCGAACAGGCTCTTATGGAGGACAATTCGCCCTATCCAGAGGTACGTCGCGAAACTCCGCTCAGGATCGAGAACTAGTATCGCCGTAGGAGGAGGGACGGGCAGAAGAACAGTGCCAAACGAGAAACTCGTTCAAGTCGCTAACATGATGCGCCGCTGCAACAAAGGTCCGCGCCGTAGTACGGAATTACGATGTCGATTTGCCAGCAAATACGATTCGCGCATGGGTCATCGGCATGCTCCTCTGCACTGTCGGCTCTGGTGTCAACATGCTCTTCTCACTCCGCAACCCCAGTGTCACCATCACCACCTATGTCGTCCAGCTCATCGCCTATCCTATTGGTCTGGGTTGGGATCTAGTCATGCCCGACAAGGAGCAGAATGTCTTTGGTGTCAAGTTCAACCTTAAACCCGGCCGTTTCAACTACAAGGAGCACGTTATCATTGTGGCCATGTCTAATGTGAGTTGGGACGATTTTTATCAGGAGCGGGGCCCCTGTCGATACCCCAGATTGGAGAAGAGCAGTAGCCAAGATTTCGAGTCGAGGAAAAAGAGGTTCTTAAGAGAGGAAAAGTCCAACGACAGAACTAACTCTGATTACTAGGCTGCGTATGGAGGTGGTGTCTTGTACGCGACCGATGTTCTGCTTGCACAGCAGCTCTTCTACAAGCAGCACTTTGGCTGGGCTTTCCAGTTGCTCTTCGGCATCACTACCCTCTGCACTGGATACGGTCTGGCCGGTCTGGCGCGACGCTTCCTTGTGTGGCCCTCTGCCATGATCTGGCCCTCGAACCTGGTCAACTGTGCTCTCTTCTACACCCTCCACGACCACTCTGGCTCTGATCCGACCAAGACCAACGGCTGGAAGATTGGCCGCTACCGCTGGTTCCTTATCGTTAGCGGTGGTGCCTTCATCTGGTACTGGTTCCCCGGTTGGATTTTCCAGGGACTTTCGTACTTTACCTGGATCTGCTGGGTTGCGCCCAAGAACGAGATTGTCAACAAGGTCTTTGGTGGCCTTTCGGGTTATGGACTCATGCCAATCTCATTTGACTGGACCGTCATCTCAGGTTACCTGACGTCGCCGCTGATCCCGCCTTTCCACGCCATCGCCAACGTGATTGCGGGCATCATCATCTTCTTCGTCATCGTCTCGTCCGGCATCCACTTCTCCGGAACCTGGTATTCCGACTACTTCCCCGTACAGAGCTCCGAATCATTCGACAATACCGGCGCCGTCTACAACGTCACCCGAATCCTCGACGCAAACTTGCAGTTCAACGAGACCGCCTACAACGACTACTCTCCTCTTTACCTGCCGACTCAATTCGCTCTGGCCTACGCTCTTTCGTTCGCCGCTGTGGCTGCCGTTGTCGTTCACGTTGTTCTGTACCATGGCACGGAGATTTGGGGCCAGTTCAAACTGGCGCGCCATCAAGAGGATGACGTGCACATGCGTTTGATGAAGAAGTATCGAGACGCTGAGGATTGGTGGTATCTGGGTAGGTCCAATCAATGGTATCCTCCTTTGGGCTAGACTGACAATTACTCTTAGCACTCTTCGTTGTCATGGTTGCCATCTCGTTTGGTGTTGTTGCTGGATGGCCAACTGGTTTCCCGGCGTGGGCCTACGTTGTGTGCATTCTGATTCCCGTTTTCTGGATCATTCCTATCGGCATCGTGCAGGCCATCACTAACATCCAGCTCGGCCTCAACGTCTTGACCGAGTTCATCATCGGATACATGGTGCCGGGTCGCCCCCTCGCGATGATGATGTTTAAGAACTACGGCTACATCTGCATGTCGCAAGCGCTGTACTTTGCGCAGGATCTCAAGCTCGGTCATTACATGAAGGTACCCCCTCGTACCATGTTCGCCTCTCAACTTGTCGCATCACTCTGGTCAGCTATTGTTCAGATTGCTGTCATGAACTGGGCCCTCGGCACCATCCCCGACGTTTGCCAGCCCGATCAACCCAACAGCTACACCTGCCCCGGTGGTCGCGTCTTCTTCACCGCATCAATCATCTGGGGTGCGATCGGTCCCGCCCGTATATTTTCCGGTCAGGCGCTGTACGCCTCCCTCCAGTGGTTCTGGCTCGTTGGCGCCATCACACCGGTCATCACTTGGTTCCTTGCCCGAAAGTGGCCCAAGAGCATCTGGCGCTACGTTAACACGCCGCTCCTGTACGGAGGCTCTGGCTGGCTCCCTCCTGCCAGTGTCTACATTTACCTCTGCTGGGCGCTTGTTGGCACTATTTTCAACTTCTTCATCAAGCGTCGCTACACCGGCTGGTGGTTGCAGTACAATTACATTACCTCGGCGGCCCTCGACTGTGGCCTCATCGTGGCCACGCTCATCATCTTCTTCACGTTGTACCTCACATCCGCCAGGCCACCACAATGGTGGGGTAATGTTGATGTATTTGAAACGATGGACTGGAAGGGCACGGCAATTAGGAAGCAAGTGGCCCCTGGCGAGATCATTGGCCCCAGTGTTTGGCCTTGAGGATTTTATGAGGATGTAAAAATTTGAGAAGCGTATTAATGATGTTCAGTTGGATAAGGATATAGGAGTTTGGTGGCTTCTTGAACGTATGTACCACGGTCTCACGGCCCTTGGGGAGGAGTATTTGGGTATTGCTATTATTTCACGGCTCTGATGCGAGGATTGTCTGTACGGCTGATGATATCTCGGCGCGAATCTACTTGCCCGTCTATTTTATAAGTATGAATCAACGATAAGATTGACGTTGCAGCTTATTTCCAGTTGTCTATGGGTTTGTGAGAGTGCCACTTACTGCAAAATAGCGGGGGGGTCTCTTCTAGTGTTGTGCTCGGTGTACAACGCAGCTTCCCAATGGAAATGGCGGCGCACAGGCTTGCTATCTGCTTCGGCTGGAGGCTCGCCTTCCTCAACTCGACACTCGACGCTGTTTGGGCAGGTTCTCATTGTTTTCACCTTCCGCGTAGGAGCACCACATTGAGAAGCTCACTTACCTCTGACTACCTAGGCGCATCCGTCACAGACGCACCGACTTGGAATCTCCAGCTCCATCGTCCAACCTTCTCAGCATTCCGTATTCCGCTTGACTTGAAGCAACGGAACATCACATCACTACGAGTACATGTACCCAACAGTATACCCTTCATCGGCATCCTCCTCGACCACACCAGCGCCGTTACCGTCCTGACGGCGCTCGTCACCGCCAAAGGTTCGCTGATAGATACAATGGCAGATTGCGGAGCCGGAGCCATCGCTGCTGCTTCGACGTTTGCACCGCCAATCATGATACATTTTCCTACCAACAGTGGATCCAGAGGTCAGGGCCTCTTTGCGAGCTTGAGGAGGCTGCAGTCTCACTCCAGTCGGAGCATGGAATCGACGAAAGAGAAACAGGCCAAACCCGTGCCGCGTGTGATGTCGTCGCAAGGTGTGCGGACGTCGAGGGCATCGACCGAGTCCCGGGGGCCCTTTTCTTCCAAAGAGGACCTGGATATCGACGTTGACGATGTAGAAGACCTGGAGCTGCCGCCGAATATCTTGGCGGATGATTGGGATTCTTCGGCACAGCCATCTTCTGGTTCTGAGCCGCAGCACCCTCGGCGCCGTGCCAGCAAGAAGCCGAAGAAGAGGGCGGCGAGGAAGGAGCAGAAGAAGAGAGGGTTTCGGGCTAGACTTCGACGGTTTCTTGGTCGGGATGGGGACAAGGGCAGGGGTGGTCACGAGTCGCCATACAGCCACAGGCAGACGACACAAACCATGCAGAGCGAGGAGTCAGGGCTGTCTGATCTGCAAGATGCCATGGCAGAGCAGGATTCTCAACCAGCCAAGGCTGATCTGTCTTCACCGAAGGGGAGTACGCCTCAATCCAGCTGCCGCAACTTTCTCAGGTACGTACAGCCATTTTTGACCCCGTCAGTCTGGACTCCAGAGCTAGTTCAATAACAGAGGCTATCAGAGACGCCCTCGCACAACATCGAGTCGAGGAAAAGGAGGAGCCGACCGACAAACCGAAGGAAGCTGGTCAATCCACGGAAAATGGAGATACGACGAAGCAATGAGCGGCTTTCGGTCAATAGCTCAACACGCCTTGATAACGGAGATTGGCAAATAGCAGTACGAAGCTGTTGGGGGTATTTGCGACAATGCCCGTAAAGAAGCTTCAAGGTCCTGTCGGTCTGCTCCTGGTGTGGATGAATGGTGTAAGTTGGTACATCTTCGTATAGTTGATTCCTTTCTGGTGGACCTCATTCCAATCCTAATACACTTCTCTTCCTATGAATGCCAAATTGTTACCTTTGACAGATGCTCGAGGCATGATCGATTCTGGGTATTTAGAAAAATGCCCGACCATCTGTCGCCGGCAGCCCGGCGCTGGAACACACGGCAAGATAGCTCCAGGGAACTTGTCTCGAAATTTGAGACACCAAGCATTGGTATTTCGATTTGACGTTTCCTTGGATTAAGGCCGTAGTAAGAGCTACCGTCACCTCGGCTTGCCGGAGTATGGGAGATCTCGTCGCTAATGATTACATTTAGAAAACCACGATGGTAATGATGCAGAGGACTCCCTTCCGTGACGGAATGAGACAACATCTCCTGGTGGCGGTGTGCCTGACTAGTGAGCCCTGACTCCTAGAGCCCTCTATAAGTGCCAATCGCCCTCCGATGTCTAGCGAGTGAATCCTTCTGATTCATTGGGGGCGAGCTGCATCCCTCATCATCATGATCATCGCAGGGGAACGAAGAACGTCTGACTTGAGCCTCTTGAACGGAACTTACCAAGGGGACGTCATGCTCGCGGAGCGGGTCCCAGTCCAATCCCAGCCGTGCCCCATTTGACCACCTAGCCGGATTCATCTCCGTGGTGTCCCCGAGATTTGCGAATGGGTCTGACAAGCTTGACAGCGTCTGTGTACTGTTGCTTGTCTCTTGGAGGTTTTATTGTCTTTCGGAACTTTGTGTCAGTCCAGACAATGGGGAGGGGGGCCTGGGGGTCAAGGGCATGGGGAGACATGCCAATGCAGGTGGACCACCTCCCTTGCTCAACAAATACCAGTGGGATGGGGTCTATTACACTTGTCTCACTAAGTTTCCAAGATTTGGTTGTACAATGAAACAACGACAGTACATCTGCAGTCCGTCTAGGAGGGAAAAGGAAATGGAAGGCGAAGGGGAAGGGGAGAGGACGGGAGGGCGGAAAGGAAAAAGCAAAAACAAAAAGCAAAAAAACACACAGCAACAATGAGGAATAAGGTCCCTGCTGATCTCCCTTTCCTGGGTATCTGGGTATCCCTTTTGGAGAAAGTGACAACAAGACAAACTCTCCTGAGACAGGCTGAGTCAGTGACGGGCAAACAAAATACAAGAAAAGTCTGGGACAAATTTCGCAATCTTGGTCTCTTTTGGAGCAAGCAGCAAGACAACTTGGGCAAGCAATACGGGATTTGCGACTCTACAATTGGTTATTTGGCTTATTTAAAGCAAAGGGGAAAGACGCATAGAGATCGAAGAAGTTGAGTGGTTTTAGCGACTTTTGTCACTACACAGACTTACACCACTCACACTTACGCATACACACACTTACACCATATTGTTTGGGGGAAAGTCAACGGCGGATATCAACAATCAGTCACTATTGACTAGCTTTCTTGGCTTCAAAATCAACCATAACCAGAGTCATCGTTGAATCGTCTTGTTGCTGGTTTTCTTCAAGCAGGGATTTGAGCCATTTTAAACTCAGACCATGTCATTCGCAAGAGAGAATAGCAAACACACGATACTTTACGAGACGATATTAGGGTGCCGCCGGGGCCTTGCTCTTTTACATCCACGGCCGCGCTGACGCACTCTTTCCATTTAAACTGTGTCTATCCACGAGAAGAACTCATCACTACAGACTGGGCATTTGTAATAAGGAACGCTCACTTTTCATTGCCGCAAGGAGGCTTGAAGAGACACGACTTCGGCTTGGCGCAGACGAGCGCTTTTCATACCGAAGCGACTGTTGAACCAGATTCCTCCTGTATTCGGAAGCCACAGGTATAAGTGAGAAACCCTCTCATATAGCTAGGTCCCACCTACGTACCACTCGACGAACAGTCGCACAATCTACTTGAATTCAAGGACGTCAACGAGACAAGGACGCAAGTAAGGGGGGGTGTCGGACAGAATGGGTCGGAGCGGGTACGATACCACGGCTTTGGGAGGACTTGCAAAGATGAAGAAGCCGAGATCTGCTGGTACTAGTACTAGTACTAGTACTAGTGGTGGTGGTGGTGGTGTTATTACCCAGGCCAACATGCCCGTTCAGAATGACGGCGGTGAATACGGTGGCTCGGCTCAGCGGGCGATGATGCAGCGGCAGGTGCAGATTCAGATGGCGCAACAGCAACAGCAACAACAACATTCGCAGACGGGAGGATGGTACGGCGCAGAGTCGAGTTCTTCTGCTTCCGCATCGGCGTCGGCTTCGAGTAAGAATCGGGCTGAGTGCGGTGGTGGCGGGGCTGCGGCCAAGAGGTAGTGGATTCCGGGTTGATGGGTTTCATCGAGAGAGGGTGGTGATAGTGAGCCAAGGTCTGCTGGGAGGTACGTTTTTGTTCACGTTGTTTTCGTCTTTTGTCTGGGGTGTTAAGAGCTGATAATTTTGGTCAGATTCAAATCCGATCGGTATAAATACTGGGCCCGCCTTGGGTAAGGTTTTGATGAGCTGAAGTTTGGCTGCGCGGTGTGAGTGATAGTTGAAGGAGAGCGAGAAAAAAAAGGTATTGACGCGCTGACGGGATCAAGCAGGTAACCACATGAATCGATACTCTGGTTCCGGCCAGAAGAGCGCTGGCTAAGGTGTCCTGGCCTAGTAGATGGGCGGGATTGAGTATTGCTGTTATCCGTCGTCTATCAACAGTTCACGACTGGCTGGAGGTCGAGACGCGAGGGACGGTCCACTATCCTCGAGATAATGAGCATGACAAAGTTATTGGTTTGATCATCTAGGAGCTTACGGGAGCCGGGCTGTGTTGCCTCCACAGCCGGGATCCAACTGCATTGCAGTGCGTGGACTAGGCATCTTTTGCTCCGGCAACTGGTAATTGTGGGTTTGGAACATTGCAAAACATATAGTAGTCATACAGGATTGATATACACAAAAAGGAGCTGAGCCGTAAAGTCTCTTCTGAAGTTTTGTTCTATGTACTATGCCATGACGAGCATCCATCCATATATCCTCTAACAACAACGCGAGAAACGCTAAATTGAGGAAAAGGGGTATCGATCCAGAGAAGAGAAGGAAATAGCAAAACATTGAGACAAGGCGTATCATTCTAGACCCCTGGCCATCATCATACAATCACGGCTCCGTGATCTCGTCCGACCGGAACACTCTTTAGCTGTACTGCGGCGGATGCTGAGTCGGCGCGGTATGAGAAGGCGGCTGCGGCATGTAATACTCGGCCGCCGCGCCGGAGGGCGCCGGAGCAGCACCAACCGGGGGCGGAGCAGGAGACGGGGCCCGATGATGCGGCGCGTAGCCCATGGGCTCGTACTTGCTGTCCGCGTTGTTGTGGGTGCCGGCTCCAGCTCCGGTGTACCAAGAGTCCCGGTTACCCGTGTCATCGGATCTCCTACCCTCTTCAATCTTGGCGTACGTGCCGCCAGCGGAGCGCTTCGTCTCGTCGCCGTCGCCGCCGCCACCTCCTCCGGACTTGTCCTTGCGCCGGGAGATGAACTTTCTGTAGAGCGTGAAGGGGATCCAGAGGCCCGTGGAGACGAGGAGGGCGTGGCCGAGGACGTGACCGATGCGGAATTTCTTTCCTTCCTTTTTGCGCTTGAGTTCTGTTTTTTGGTGGTGTAGTGTAAGTCAAACTGGCCGTCTAGATACTTCTTCAACAACCCCCAAGAGGAGACGCAAAGTCTTACCTTTGACCGTGTAGAATGCGAGCGAGACCAGGAACAGAACGAACCACACAATCAGAACGATGATGAGGATCCGGGCCCAGAGGGGAAGCGCGCTGAAGCCGCCTCCCCCACCCCCACCTCCTCCGCCTCCGCCGGCGGCACCGACGCGGCCGCCGCCTTTGTACTTGTTTTTGCCGCTCTTTGATTTTGATGATTTTGAGGATTTGCTGCCGCCGCTTGAGCCGCGGCTACCGCTGGAGCCACCGCCTTTGGGGACGCGGGACTCGAGGATGAGATCCATTTGGGGGTTGGGTTTGTTGCTGTCGCTGTTGTAATCAGGCGGGCGCTTGTAAATGTATGTTGGGCCCCAATTGGTTCCTTTCCTCGTTGAAGAGATATTTGATTGGTTATGAGAGATGGCTGCTGTTACACACAAAACACTCGAACCGAGGGGAAGATTTTATAGAGTAATTGTTTGACGGGGGAGGAAAGTAAGACTTGAATCGAGGCTGAAGTGAAGGGTGAGAGAGGTAGGCTGCCAAGTCTTTAAGTATAAGAGGCACCCGCAAGCGGTGCGTGCCCGTCTTACGTGCATTCGACCGGTGGCCGGCGGTTTACCTAGTCCCACCACCACCCACCCACCGAACATTGTCCTCTAAAATGAGCCCTGCTAGTTACACCGTCACACTGTATAGATACAGATAGGTAGTCTGGGGTGAAGAGTGGTTGGTTGGTTGGGTGGGCGGGCGGCGGCCCCCTCTCGTCATTCTGGTCTACAACCTTGGCCTTCTACCGAGAGGCAGCGCAAGGCGGACATCACACCCTGGAGCTAGAAAGGGTACCTGGTATTACCAAGAAAAAGACAAGCTTAACCAGCTCAGCAAAGTCCCTCGAAGGATTTCGTGAGCTGGCAGTGACCGGCAGACGGCGACGGTCACGTCTCTGCCACTCTGGCTGGCTGGTGAGAGAGAGAGACCGAGGGAGACCGACGTGACAAGGGGTGATTGAGGATTTTCTTAGTCTGGTCTTGGCAAAAGTTCAGCCGTAGATGATGCTATTCGTCCATTTGCGCGCAGAGGCACAGCGGTGCGGAGGGACGTATTCGTAGCGTGGTAATCTCACCTTGACACCCCGCTAGGCCTCTTCCTTGGCGCCGTCTATAGCCTGTAGGTCCTCCATAGAAGAGAGGGAAGTCGAAGAAGTCACGACTTGATAGTTCCTCTTTGGGCATCGCGGGTCACCACAGTATTGGGCGGTGCTCTTTTACCAAGGGCATGGTATCTGTAGAGTGGGCGCCGTTGGAGGGATGACCCCCTTCTGGACCTGGAGACCGACCATGAACAAGACCAAGACCCCAGTTGGCGGCGTCAATAGTAGGGGACCTAACCTGGCTCTCCAGGCTCAACCAGCCTTACGGACTCACCATGGGCGGTGTCCACCCTTCTGCCATGGATACCGGAGCTCTATGGAGGCAACCAGAGGGCTGTGACAGCCCGAGAGGAGGGATCAATGCCTCCCCCGGAGCTTATCGTACCTTTGTACAGGGGGCACGATCCCAGCGGAGTGGGCAAGTGGGCTGGCTACCGGAAGGAGGGACGAACGGTCGTGCCATGTTCCCTGGAAGCTTATTTCTCCATGTGCTTCACTTGACTCCGTTCTCAAGGCGTGTTCATACGGACAAGGTAGGTAGTCGGCGCCAATGCTCTTCTTTCAGGAACAATTTACGGAAATGATCCCACATCTAGGCATCTACCTACATTGTAATCCTTGGCAATGATGGCATCTACAGCCTCAAAAACCTCTCGGAACTTGGAGGACAGAGAAGGAGAACGATAGACGATCAAACTTGCAAAACGACAAGAAGGCGGTCGCGACGTCATTTCCGTGACGACCCTTCATGTTCACTCGCAGATCGCCGCCCGACACACGTTGAACTTTGCAACTCGACTGGTCCAGACTTCAGGGGACCTTTCTTCCCCTTCTCAAGTCCCTCCTTCATCTGCGGCACAGCACCGATCGCCTGCTGCCGTACACAGTATGCCGTCATCTCTACCCGTACCACCAATCCGCAAAGGCGTGATGATGGTGGTGGTGGTGGTGGTGCTGACCCCTTCTTGCTATTGAACTCTTGGCAACTCGGCAGGGCCATTCTTCATTGGGTGTCTTGGAGCTTTCCACGACGACAGAAGACGCAAAATCCGGCCAGAGACGAAATAAATCATCATCCGCGAAGAAATGGGAGCCAAGTAATGATTATGTGAGAACAAAGTACCTATTGCCCAACCCTGAACCTCTCATGCAACGGGTCTCCGCGGATGGGCGGCGAACCCGGTGCAAAAACCCCCCCGAAACAAAGCGTGCCCGGATCTCGGTGGTCTTTCCTCTAGGACCCTCCATACGGGCATGGTGTTTGCCGTTGGGAAGTCAAAATTCAACTTCATCCGGCCCCCGGCTTCCAGGAAACGGGGTGGGCCTGTTCGTAACTTTACCTTACTTTAAGACCTCACGTGCTTCGTAACATACGTAGGGTATGCTGCACCTCTGTGGCGGTGCTCGCTTGCTTCCAAACCTAAAGCCTAGGTCTAGAACTCATGAGGCTCTGTTTGTGTGTGTTTCTGTTGGTTTCAGTCTTGCGTGGCAACAAACGACATGTGGTTCTTTGCCATGTAAGATCGTAGGACTCTTAATGTTAATCACGATCAATGTTTGGGCGGCACGTTGCCTCTTGGCTAGATCCCATCTGTCCGATCTATCCGATCTGTCTGATATTTGACGGTGGGATCTGTGTATGACGACCAGTTCCCATGGTATCACTTATTTGCGAAGCCCAAGACTCGATTTGCATTGCTCAATGAGGGTAATAATCTCCTCGTGATTGGAGGCACAGAGCAAACACAATGTATCGATCGGTTCCGGAACCCCATTCTTATCCCCAAACACGATCCATCAGAGATCTCTATCTGAAAAAACACGATCAAAGATGTCATGCCAGATGGCATGCAGACGACGGAGAGTGAGTACCTTGAGAAAGCCATTAACTTTTTTCATCCGGTATATTCTTACTCAAACTAGGTATACGGATAACTCAAGTCGTAGCGCGCCCCCGACTCGGGCATCCGAGCCACAGTCCCCCCCCCCTGCTTCGGCCGCAAAACTTAGTCCATTTGATGGGACACCCGAAACTTTCTTCTTCGTCTTCAACACGGTCACTGGCGGGCAGCAAAGAAAGAAAAGGAGGTGCCCGCTACTCGATTCAGCTTCGACTGCCCACAATCTTTTTGCCAAGATGACGGAAAAAGCTGCATCAACGCAAGCCCGACTACCAAAGCTAGTTTTGTTCCCCCATCACCTTCCCACCCCCCCATACTAGTGGCGACGCTAGGCAGGTTTGCTAAACCTCATTATTCTCAGCGGCACCGCAAGCTCGCGCCACTTTGGTTCCCGTTAAGCACGTATACCCGGCACGAGGTAAGGGCAGTTTGGCGGACGACTGGGGTGTGTGTGTGTGTGTGTGTGTGTGTGTGTGCGTGTGAGGTGATGGTAGTGGCGGCGGCGGCGGCGGTGGTGGTCGGGTCTGTTATATGGTCTACGGGGACCCGGCCTCTCGGGTAGATGCAGCAAGAACCTACTCGAGTCGAGATAGAGAAAGGTAACTTTCTCATCCTCTCCGTGCTTCCAGCAACTTCTCATCGCACGGGACCACTCATCCATCCGTCCGCACCGGAAGCGCAAACAGAAAGATGGCGATACAAACCCTCCTGTCAGGCCTGACGCCGACCCTCACCCCAGCCCACCTCGCAGCTCTCCTCTCCGGCCTATGGCTCCTCTACGCCCTCCAGCTCGGCGTCCGCCGCCTCTACTTCAGCCCCATCTCCCACGTCCCGGGCCCGCGTCTCGCGGCGCTGACGCAGCTGTACGAGTTTTATTACGATATCGTGCTGGGCGGGCAGTACACGTTCAAAATCATTGAGTTGCATCGGCAGTACGGGCCCGTGGTGCGGATTAGTCCGTGGGAGGTGCACGTCGGCGACCCGGAGTTCTTTTCGGAGCTGTATACGGGGCCGGGGAGGGTTAGGGAGAAGTGGGGGTTTTATACGCAGCAGGTAATGTGATGTTTATTCTGTTATAACTTTGATCTTTCTCTGGGAGAGGGGGGTGGTGAGGGGGGGCAAAAGAGAGGAGAGAATACGATTTGCTGACTGGATTTTCTAGTTTGGATCTCCTGGTAAGTTGATCTAATGGGAGTTGAATCGTTTCGACGATAGAGTCATGAGCTAATGGGAAATGGAGAGAGCGCGCTGGCGACTGTGAACCATGATCATCACAAACTGAGGCGCGCGGCGCTGAACCCCTTCTTCTCTACGCAGACGGTCCGCAAGCTGCAGCCTGTCATCGAGGAACGGGTCGACGCGCTGCTTGATCGTCTTTTAGAGCTCAGCAAGAGGTCCAAGGAGCCGCTGGATGTGATGTATCCGTTCTCGGCCTTTACAAATGGTAAAGCAACTCTTCTTCACATGTCTTTGCCAAATGGGTGTGGAGTTCTAGTCACTGACACGACAGCCAGATGTCATAAATGAATACAGCTTCGCCAGGAGTGACCATCTCAGTGAGTAGCACGCTCTTGGAGATTGGCAGGTATCGAGCCTGGGAGCTAATTGGGATTTTCACAGTCGAGGACGAGACGTTTGGCAAAGTGGTGACTGATAACCTCCTCATGGGCACGCATTTGGGGCCAATGATCAAGCACATGAACTGGGCTCTGACGCTGGTCAACGCCCTACCAGAGTCCTTTTCCGGACGTTTCATTCCCGGTAAGTATTGGTTTCTTTGTCTTTTCACAACTTCCTGTCTGCTCACAGAAGCTCATCACTTACACATAACATCTACACTTAGGCTGGGGCGGCTTCCTCAAGATGAAGAACGACATCAAGGACCAAATCGGCGAGATCAAAGCCACGCAAGGCACGGAAAAGTGGCAGCTGGACGCCAGCCACCCGACAATCTTCCACGACATGCTCTCTTCCAAGCTCCTGCCGCCCGCGGAGAAGACGGTCTCACGGCTCGCGCAGGACGGACAGATCCTGGTGCAGGGCGGCACGCTCACGACGTCGTGGACGTTGTCGCTGGCCGTATTCCACCTCCTCAACCGGCCCTCGACGCTGCGCCGGCTGCGCGATGAGCTGTTTGCCGCGATCCCGGACCGGGATGCCGTGGTGCCGCTGGCGGAGCTGGAGAATTTGCCGTACCTGCGGGGCGTCGTCAAGGAGGCTCTGCGGCTTGGGTTCGGGACGAGTTCGCGGCTGGCGAGGGTGTGTCCTGAGGAGACGCTGGTGTATCACGACAAGGACGGTAGCGGTAGGAGTGTGCACCTCCCGCCGGGGACGGTGATTGGGATGAGTACGTACAAGACGCAGACGGAACCGCGTATCTACTATGACCCGTTTGGGTTCCATCCGGAGCGGTGGGTCGAGGACGGCGAGCGGTTGGAGAAGTATTTGACCGTGTTTTGCGGGGGTACGCGGGTGTGTCTCGGGATGGCGCTCGCGCAGGCGGAGTTATATCTCATGCTTGCGAAGCTGTTCCGGCGGTGGGGCGGAGCGGGCGTCGTGGACGGTGGCGGGAAGGGAGGAGAGGACCGGCGGGCGGGCGATGTGGGCGTGCTCAGGATCTTTGAGACGACAGTGAGAGATTGCGAGATGGCGGCGGATTACTTTATTCCGATTCCCTATACGGTATGTTTTGACGGATCGCAATTTGTGTGTGGTGACTGACGAGCAATCTAGAACTCCAAGGGGATCCGCGTGGTGTTTGACAGACAGCACTGACGATCCCACATTGTGTGTGTTGAGGAGAGGTGAGGTGCAATTTGGGCAGTTGAGAGTTGGATGGTGTTGTGGTCTGGACAAAGGACCTAACGTAATTGGTGGCTGAGCAAGCTCGGGAAATACGGTTGCCGTGTGTGTCAGTGTGACATTGTCCCATCGCCGGACCTTTTAGAGTTGCGATAGTCTGGGAATTTGGCGTCAATTCGGGAAGGACAAGCACAAAGGTCTTGGCCCTCGGCTGCCCGTCATCTCCCAGCAATATGCGTAGCATAGACAGAAATGCTGACGGGAGACTTTGTCATCTGATGAGGTGAGATGGGATCGAATGAGCCATAGCCGCAGCATCTCATCAGATGTGAGAACATAGATGATAGCTTTCAGAGATCGGATCGTTTCTCGTAAACGCAAAGAAGAAGAAGAACACTGACAGAAGATGAGGTCCAAGTTCGCGCCTGTTGATGTACCTACCTTACATGCTTACATTAGCTAAGGTCCAGAAGGTACACGAAAACGGGAGGTCAAAGTGCCTGTGAAGCAGTGTCCAATGAGATTGCCCCAAATAATAGCTGACTACGGATACGTACCTGTGGCCCACCCCGGACTCGGCCAAGTCAACAAATCCCCGGTCCGGCGTGGATGCCGTCCGATGTTTAGCGCAAGAAGGAAAGGAAGCCCGTGGGCCGCAAGGTGCAGGAGCACTGAAGGTCGGGTGGGCCCCACCCAATCCCAGCACAGCAGCAAGTGCCAAAGTGGAAGCAGCCACTGGGGCAGCCACGGGGGCAGTCAGCGTCAGCCCCTGACCCTGAAACATCGGACTGGGCCGACTGGATCACCATTGCACCAATTCAGGGGACAAGGGCAGAAAGAGCATGTTTTCTGCACCTTCTGCACTCTCCACCACTACGGATATCGACCTAGCCAAGTGCTGTACTGCACCTGCCGACGGCAATGACGGGGGAGCTTGGACACCGCGCGCCGCGACTTCCACGTTGTTCCTTTTACTGAGTTGCCCCGTTCCCCTCCACCCTCCAGTGTCTTTGGTTGTCACCTGTCGTCCCACCTCGAATTCTTTTTTCTTACTTCTGCATACTATTGTTGTTCTTGTCTTCGTTTTCGCTTTCTCCTCTTCAACTCCCGTGTACCCTTCCTAATGCAGACTTGGCCTTTCTTTTCTTGCCTTGGCTGATTCACTACTTCTCCCCTGTTCGACTCGACTCTCTCTCCAACTACCCCACGCTCATTCTCCCGATCTACTTGATCTCTATACAACGGCAACCCGTCATCCCGTTCACAAACACCGAATATAACGTCCTCCACGACTCAATTCACCTCACTCTTACGCATAGGACAACTAGCGCAGGTTCGCGACAATGGCAGTGGCAGCGACATCACCGTCGCCTTCTACGGCGGTTGACCCCTCTACGCGCAAACGTGTGCTCAGGGTCATCGCCATCTCTCTGCTTCTCGACTTGGTATTCTTCCACCCCCTCAAGCTGCTCTGGCCGTCTGTCTTTCGTCATCTGGACCTCTCCAAACTAACAAATAAACCCCCTCCAGATCTCCTTCACCTTCATCCTCCCGCTCTTCCCGAAGCTACTCGAGTTCTACCGCGACCGCGAAGTCGGCCCCGAGATCGCGAACGCAACTGGCCCCGCCACCCTCCTTCAGTCCGTTCTCTCCGGCCTGAACCGCTACAAGGCCGCCTTTGCCCGCCCCATCGACTCCCGCTATGATATCGTTCTTCTCGGCGGGGCCCTCGGCTCCCTCTTCAGTCTGCTCCAGGCCATTGCCTCTCCGCTCATCGGTCACCTCTCGGACCGACACGGCCGCCGCACCGCCCTGCTGGCCTCCATGTGCGGCAACATACTCTCTGTGCTCCTCTGGGTCGTCGCCGTCGACTTCCGCACCTTTGTCGCCTCCCGTGTCGTCGGCGGCCTGTCAGAGGGCAACGTCCAGCTCGCCACCGCCATGGCGACGGACATCTCGGACGAGCAGAGCAGAGGCTCCACCATGGCCCTCATCGGCGCCTGCTTCTCTATTGCATTCACTTTTGGTCCGGGTCTTGGCGCATGGCTGAGCAGCATCAGCACTGTCAAGGAGAACCCCTTCGCCACTGCCGCCGGCTTCAGCTTGTTCCTCATCCTGACCGAGACCGTCTACCTCTACTTCTGCCTCCCCGAAACCCTCCCCTCGTTGACGGGCAAGGGCCGCGGCACGAAGAAGCATGACAAGAGCACGGCGAAACCGAAGTCGACACCTCTGGTCCGAACGAACTCGCACTTCCTCCTCAACGCCGTCCACTTTGTCTTCCTGCTCTTCTTCTCCGGCATGGAATCTTCCCTCTCGTTCATGACCTACGAGCTCTTCGCCTTTGGCTCCGCCAAGAACGGCCGCCTGCTCGGTTTCGTTGGTCTCGTTGCCTCCATCCTTCAGGGTGGTGTCACTCGCCGCCTCCCGCCTCTACTCTCCATGCGCATTGGTGTCGTGGCCTGTCTGGCGTCCTTTGTCCTCCTGGGCCGCATCACCACTACCGGCGGGCTGTACGCTGCGGCGACGTGTCTCGCCGTCACATCCGCGACCGTCGTCTCGGGTCTGAACACGCTGAGCAGCTTTGAGGCAGCTGAGGACGAGCGCGGTGGCAAGCTCGGCATCCTCCGCAGCTGGGGCCAGCTCGGCCGTGGATTGGGACCAATTCTTTTCACCAGCGTCTACTGGTGGGCCGGCCGTGAAGTTGCGTATACCATGGGTGCCACGGGTATGGCTGTCGTGGCAGCTGCGGTGTTCGCCGGTCTCAAGACGCCGCCTGGGTCATTGAAGAAGGTGCATGCCGAGAAGAAGGCAGCGTAAGACTGCTTTTGAGTGTAAAACAGTGAGGTAGAGTCTGTTGTCAGGCATTGTGTGAGAAGTTTTTTTTGTGTTGATATTCAATCTACTGTACATGTACTCGGCACAGGGGAGCATTTTAAAGGAGTCTGATACAAGGTTCAGTGTAGTATACTCAGGGAGCTAAACGTATATGATGTTCTTTTTTGTCAATCATACTGCATGGCCTTGAAGTGATGCTTAATGTTGGAGGCGTAACGAGAGATGGAGTACAGGTAGGATGGGATGCGCATTATGGTTTTGGCTTCAAATATCTCGAGAGGCTGGAGACTAGTAAGTTGATACCGGCATAGCTCTATGCCGTCTTTCTGACTCTGTATCTCAGTTCTGATGCCTCGCATAGTCTTGGCGGCGACCCAAAGTTGACGAGTTTTTGTGTTACGACTGTGAAGTCCCACTCCAGAGAGGCGGCTCCTCTCAGCCCATTATCACTTTATAACGATCTTCCGGATTCTCAGTAGTGAGGTTCTGACGTCGTTCCAGACGTTTGCCTAGCTCTCTCTCACTCATCAAAGTCGCAAGCATTGGCAATATGAGCCACGGCATCAATATTCCGCTCCAGATCCGCCACCTTATCCCTCGCCGTCTTAACAGCCGCCTTACCCAACGGAAGCCTCAAAACCCTGCCTCCCTTCTTCTCCTTTTCCTCTTCCTGGCCCCCCAATAACCCCTCGGCCAACCCCTGCCCCGCCACGAAATCAAACATTTGCCGCGCAGCCCTCACGGGATCCCCAGCCTGCGTCCCGCCCCCGGACTCGAGGTGCTTCAGCACCCCCTCGGCCGCCGTACCCTTGTAGAACTCGCTCATACGCCCCGCGGCGGGTGAGAAGGTGGGCTGGTCGCGGAAAAGAGTGCGGAAGGGCCCCGGTTCGACGAGAACGACGCGGATGTTGAAGTCGGCGGCGTACTCGGCTGCCAGGGATTCGGAGAGGCCTTCGAGGGCGAATTTGGAGGATGCGTAGGCGGAGACGGCGGCGAGGCCGCGGAGGCCGCCTGTGGAGGAGATGTTTATGATTGTGCCGGTGTGGGCGGCGCGCATGTGTGGGAGGGCGGCTTGGGTTGTGCGGATTGTGCCGTAGAGGTTTGTGTTGAAGAGGGTTTGGAAATCGGTTAGGCTGTTGTTTCGCGGTTGTTATTAAATTTGTATTGATACTTTCTGGCGATATGCGGCTCTTCTCCTCCTGATGGAATGGGTGTTTGCTTGGTTGGGGAGGGGAGTTTCTACCTCAGGTCCTCGAACCCGCCGGCGATGCCGTAGCCGGCATTGTTCACAAGGACGTCAATCCGTCCGTGTATCTGCGCTGCACTATCTACCTGTTGTTGGACACTGTCCTTTGTGACGTCGAGGGCGATCCAGTGGCCACCTGCTTGCTGGATCTCGTTGACGAGATGGGGTGTCTTTTCTAGGGACCGCGAGGAGGCGATTACGAGGTGGCCTCTTCTCAGGACCTCGCGGGAGAGTTCTAGGCCCAGGCCTGAGGAGCAGCCTGTGATGAGCCAGACTAATTGGGTCATGTTTGTGGTTGAGGGGGTCTATTTGGATGAAGACGGGGGAAGGAGATGGTTATTTTGGTTTGGCGGGCAAATGGTAGGTAGCAGGTGAAAGGGGATAGGATTTGGAGATCTTTCTCTTGTTCCTGAGTAGACTGTGAAATAGTTACAATGATATTCCACTTTCGGGCTCTCCTACTTTGAAGATGGCATTGCATTACATTACATCACAGCCTGTCTCCGGCGAAAGTTGGGAATGATGTAGCTATTTCTCGGACTTAAGAAAGGAGGTTAAGGTCTCAGTGGAAAGCAAACAATGCGCGGGCTCCTCGGGGCCCGTTAACTCTGCATTGTCCCGTAAGTCCATTCGACAGCATCGTTGCCATCTCGTCGACGGAAGTGCCAGAGTTACGGCGAATACTTTCCGAGTCTGGCAGCGTATGAGGTCTTAATAGGTCGGACGAGAACGGACATATGGCTGCGAGTCAGCTAGTTGCTGACTGGGTCAGAGCAGGCTAAAACAAAACACCACATGTGGATTCGATGACAACCCTTAGCCACGTTAATTCCGTACATACTTGAGCTTCGGTAACGTCATGGGAGCAAACTTTCAACATGTCGACAATGGCAACTCGAATATCTTATAAAGCTTCCTGTAACGGCGATAAGATGGATGATCAGAACTCAACCTCACAACTCGTTCCCCGGAGCAAAGCAATAACTCGTTCAGCCAAACCCTCACTCCTCCTCCCTCCTCTCTCTCCTGAATAAAGACCATCATGGCGGACCGCTACATCGCAATCCACGCCGACCCCAAGGGCCCAGGCGACGCCCGCCCAACGGCAGAACAAATCGTCCGCGACGAGAACCTCGTCCCTTCAGGCCTCGCCTCCAAAACCGCCCTCATCACAGGCTGCTCCGCCGGCATCGGCACGGAAACTGCAAAGGCCCTCTACCTCGCGGGCGCAACCCTCTACCTAACAGCCCGCAACCTCACCAAAGCACGCAAGGCCCTCGGCGACGAGATGGTCAACGACACCGCGCGCGTCCACCTGCTGGAACTCGACCTCGAGTCCTTCGCCAGCGTCCGCGCCTGCGCCACCGCCTTCCTCGCCAGCACAGACAAGCTCGACATCCTCATCTGCAACGCGGGCGTCATGACGCCCCCCGAGGGCCGCACAAAGGACGGCTTCGAGACGCAATTTGGAACGAACCACCTCGCGCATTTCCTCCTCTTCAACCTCCTCCAGCCCGCGCTCCTCAAAGCAACGACCCCAGCCCACGCCTCCCGCGTCGTCATCGTCTCCTCCGTCGCGCACCGCTTCGGCCAGGTCAACTTTGATAATGTGAATTACGACGGGTGCTACGATCCCATGGCGACCTACGCCCAGAGCAAGACGGCCAACCTCTGGACCGCAAACGAGATTGAGCGGCGGTACGGGGGGGCTCGGGGGGGCATCCACGCGCTGAGTCTGCAGCCCGGAGGCGTGATTACGGAGTTGATGCGGCATATGCCCGAGGAGCAGCAGGGCGGGTTCGCGAAGCATCCTTACCTGTCCAAGATCTTCAAGACGGCGCCGCAGGGGGCGTCGACGTCTGTGTGGGCTGCGACGGCGGCGGCGTTGGAAGGTAAGGGGGGGTTGTATCTTGAGGATTGTCAGGTTATTGGGCCGTGGGATCCTGCTGGGGAGCAGTGGGGTCCTGGGTATGGCGAGCATGCGTATGATGTTGAGAAGGCTACTTTGCTTTGGGAGAAATCGCTTGCTTGGGTTGGGTTGTGAGACGACTGCTGTCGATATGTGCTAAAAAGCGCGCAAGACGTTGATGAAGAATTAAGGAAGGAATAACGTCTCCTTGATAACTTCTCTTTGAATGTGAAACAAGTTCTTTGATTCTTATACCGAATGAGGTTTGCTTACCCCTGAGCTGCGCGAGGCTCATAATCCGGGGTAGTTGCTGACGTTCGACCTTCGTGTGTAGAATTACGGAACTCAATGCAATGAATTCATGCTCCAAGTTAGTAAACTAAAGCGTATTGTTTCAACCACCAAACCTACAGTCCCATATCGTTTAAGCGGTAGATATATTTTGGATGATATAGGCGATGTGCGAGTGGCCTCCTCCTGTCTACCCAAAGCCTTTCCTTTCGCTACTCGCCTATCGTAGTCCAAGAGACCATCATACAGAGATTAGTGACCAGTCACTCGTACCAGTTTCAGAGGGGGTTGATTGACATAGGGCCGCGCCGATCACTTATTGTACTAAATGCCCAGCTCTCGACTACTATACCATCATTAACACGTCGCGATGAGATTTCATACCTTCCGAATCCTCAATGATTCATCAGATCTCAGATCAACGGACAGTCTATATTCGTGACTACCTTCTGTCGCTCCATTATAGGACCTTCCAGAAAAGTCTTGTCGCCTAAGGACATCAACAAACGGAATACACACACTTCACCGCCTACCCCTTCACCCTCCCCCTTCATAGGGCGCCTTCCCGCCATCTGAACTCCAACAAAGACACAGTAGCCAGAAAAAGATCAGTTTGGTCGAATGGTTACACACACGCCGTCGTGGAGCAATAGTAGCTTATTGGCCTCCTACCTTGTCCGTGGAGTCTCAGCCAAAGGTTGCGGGTGCAAGTCCCGCCGTCGGTACAACTTTTTTGGCCTTCTTTTCCCCCTTTTGCTTTCTTTCTTTACTCTGTCCAATCAATCACCCTTGGACTTTCTTAGTCATCTATTTTGCTTCATCTATTCACAATCGGTGGTCTTTCTTTCAACCGGTACTTATCTACCGCCCATTGAGATTCTGGGAACGCGCGAGGAAACGGAGTGCAAACATACCCATCCATGCCAATAACTTAGTATTTACCTTGTCTGCGCCTGCCTCATCACAAAACGGAGTCGATAAAGGAAGAACCACATAAAAGCTTCATTTCATAGAAAGAACTACTGTTGAAAAGGAATCGAGAAAGGAAAAAGACTTTCATCAGACCGATTCACTTGGAAGATCTGCCCTGTCCCTTTCCATTCAGCATACCTTGACGATACCTATACCTTCATTGCAAGGTCAGACTTGTTCCGGGATCATTTCTAATGAATAATGAGCCCCAGTGCTCATATTGCAACTCGAATCTAACGGATCCTCCATGGTACATGTTTTTGCCTCGTCAAGGAAATTTTCAAACTCATCAACCCTCCCCTCGCATAAGCCTAGCTTTCAGGACTGCAGTCGATCACTTACTCCTCTTACAGGTAGATATATATATGGGAGTCTTTCCCTCCTTCCACATCTTGAGTGCCCTGTTCATGTGGGCTGTGTCGTGTAACAGCCACAGTAGCCACACAGCCAGTTGAAAATTTCATCACCAGCTACGAAAGGAGTCAAACATTACATGGTCCCAGAGGAACAAATGAATAACTTCTATATAAAATAATCGGCGTTCTTAATCAGCTTTCACTATGTCCAGATTTTGTCCGTACTTTCTTAATTTCATAGCTTTAGGATCCTAGTCCATCAGTCGTCCAAAGTATAGCCCTCTAAATTACAATCTCCCCACAGTATTTTAAGTGCAGATCAAGGCAGCATAGCCGGAGACTATATTGAAAGTCCACAGATAGATCTATGGGATGGTGACTCTACATAGTAGACTTGCTACAGAATTCCAACCCACGTCGTAGCTAGTACCCCGGCTTTCGATATAGATAGGAAAGATCACTATGTAAAGCTCCGAACTCTAGCCTAACATAGACAATGTCGAATGACCTACGCACCAATGTTGATATAAACCTGTATAAACTGCTATAGCCCACGTCCTGCTTCAAGAAAAAAAGGCTCTACCTTGAAACTGACTGGCCGTCATAGCACAGTTTCACTGAGACCTTTATACCTGGAGCGTCATGAAGGTCTTTTAAACTTATCCGTCATTATTGAGCGATGTAATGGTGTATACAAATCTCTACGTATGAACAAAGTCGAAGGGTTGCCGTCAGAGGACGGAAGGCCATGGGAACAGTAGTCCCATAGAAATGACGACTTGTGTGTGCCCAGTCCAGACCCGTCGACTACTTATTCATTCGTAAGCTCTCGGTATCTAAACCACTCTATTCGCCTAAACCAATAAGTGATTCTCCTCCAAGCTGCCGAGTGGCATATCAGCTTCGAGACCTACTCCAGCCTGCGGACACGCCACGCACGGAGCACACAATAAAGCTATTGGAGATAAGTTGACATGTGGCTAGTGCTCTCGAGAGTTGGACGCGGGGAAATAACGACAAAACAGAAAAAAAAGTCTTCTCAATCAGATAGAAAGAAAAGCATGTCGTCAGCCGGGTTCATCCGAAGTTTCGACTCAAGAGAGTGCGTACATCTACCGGGGGGAGGCACACTGAATTGGTCGGCGCACCCCACCTTTTGAGTTTCCACACTTGAACGACCTGAAAATGCTCAAGAAGGTTGGGCCGAGATGGGCATATCTGCCCCCTTTCGGTCCCTGATCGGGGCCTGATGCCAAAGGGCAGTCTACGTGGGGAAACGCTCTTCCCCGTCTGCCCGTGAACCGTGTGCCCAACCTGCAAGCGCTGGATTGGACGCCATGTGCCATGTCTGGCCATCTCTGACTGGCTTCCCAGGTGTGATGCCGAAGGACCAAATGCAAGAACCTGCATGTCGGTGCATGCGTGGTTTGCAACCTCTCTTACGTGACCCTCTTTCCACCTGCATCACCTGCTGCTGCCATCAAGAACGAGGCTGGCCTGATGGCGATGGCAGTGCTGAGCCGGCAGTATTTATGGCCAGAGACCCCATGATATGGAAACGAAGAACGTCTCCTTCTCGGTTGCCCCTGGGTGAGCAGGAGGTCCTCGAATTTGATATCTGCTACTCAAGGCGACGTTCCGGTTTTCCTCCGGTAACGCATTCCGGGCTTTCGGCAACGCCTCACTTCACTGGCCTGCCGAATCGAGTGGCCCCCGAGATCCGAGCCGGAGGGTGTGATATCTTCCCGGGGGGGCCTCGAGCTGTCTTCCGTCTTGCGAAAGGTATCGGATCCGCCGTTCTGAGAACTGCTAGCGCAGCAACACCGCAGAGCGGAATCCAGAGGGGCCAAATTGGCAATGATTGCGTACTGCCATTTCGATCAGCATGTCGTACGAGTCGCACGTCCTACAATGACGGGCCGCGGCGCTTCCAGAAAATTAGCCCCGGTGCAATTGGTGACATGCAGCCTTAGTGCTTTGTTGGAGTGGTCCCCAAGCGGCGAATCCAAGAGCAGCCAAGCGGGATTACCCCCATGTTTCCCGCTGCCCAGCACTATTAATTTCGTCAGCAAGCTGTGGGAGGCTACACAAAGGTAAGCCGTTGGAGTGTTGCGCCGGCATTCGTCCTAGATTCGGCCTGGTGTTGGTCACCGTTTCCCAGACCAGTCAGGCCACTGCTCTTTGCTGTTCGGGATCGAGGCTGAGGGAGAGACAGCGCCGCCCAAGTTGCTGCTCGAAGATTCTGTTGATTTTTGCGTGACGAGGCGACGACTTCATGACTGCTGGAAACCGACTTATCCTCCCTCATCAGCTGTGGAACGGATGTGTAGCGTTGCCATCGTGGACGAATGCCCATTCCAAGTGGTAACGGCGCGAATTCGGGGACCTGTCCGTAACTTGGTTCCCCGTAACCCCGCGAATCACCTAATTGGACTCGATCTCTTTTTAAAAAGGATGTCTGACGCTATTACCCCACGTGAAAGGTGAGTTTGACAATTGAGTAGTAGACCGAATTCGTCGCAGCGTACCGGTACTACCTACGTATGGATAGCTGGTCAGTTGTGAGGAAGGTGGGACTGTGTTGCAAGACGTTGTCGGCCTTGACTGGACGCCATCTGCCAACGCCATTGCTCCTCTCGGCATTGTCGGGACAATATTACTTCGAGAAAAAACAGAACCATTTGGCCATCACGTAGCAGCTATGCCAACTGTAGTGTGGCAGGCAAAAACAGACAACTGGCAGCCCGTTCGTTGTATGGACTGACTGGCCGCGCTGGGCCAAACGTGCACTTGTGGCGTCGGTCACTTACAAGTGAGGTCCTCAGTTCAATTCATTACACCTGACAGGTCAAGATGGTACTCAGCAGCACGGTGTCTAAGCGGTATCAGCCGGCCCTACGGCGCATTAAGATTCAGCCTGGAGAACCTGTCATCGATTTCTCGTGGAAGACCCCAAGGTTCGGCGAGACGGGATGAGAGCGAGGTCCCTCGGGCGGCGGGCTGTCATCAGACCATCACAATCCAGATCGTCGGGTTGGGCTGTCGCAGTCGAGACAGAATCAAAACTCTACACTGTACCATCGCAGGTTCCTCGTCGTGGCGATTTCGAACGTCCAATGGACGTGACGGATCGTTCTGTCGTATCCCCCAGTCGGCCCAAAGATCCCTTAGGCCGGTAATGAGGAGTTTCCGGCTGGGAGAAAAATCGTACCAGCCAGAACTAAAAGGGTCCAAACAGGTGAAGAGCCAAGACGAAAGTTGATTCCAATGGAAGGAGCAGGTTCAGGGATCCTATGATGGATCCACTTCCCGAGTCGACAAGAGAACAGAGTTAGAAACTGTTCCATTGAAGTTTCAAGAATCAGCGGCGCGTCTTCCATTCCATCAGGGAGGGCGCCAGTAGCCGACGGATCGCTGAGAGACATCGGCAAGATGCCATCGATATCGATGCCGACTTTTTGCCGCGCACTGGTGGCCATTCTGCAGCCACTTACGGGTTAGTCGTCCCCTATTCAGAGAGCTGAGCCACCAGGACTGGGACAGCCTTGCAGGCTTGCAGCGTGCGACCTGATGCATAGGCGTGTTATGATGACCCGCTGCAGGCCGCGCGGGCTGCAGATATGACGGCACGGCAGCCATTTGCTGCATCTTTGGCAATAGCTGTGGCGGTGGTGGTGGTAGAGTCGTCACTAGTACCCAATCACCCTCACTTCATCGCGTGTCCACGTCTCTCGTAATTCTCGTCAATTCCATCACAAGGTCGTCCACTTGCTCGGAACGTTGGACCGAATCACGTCGCATCATGGTCAAGACCGTTTCGACACTGGGCCTCAGAGCAACCGAGCGAAAGCCAAAGAAGGACAGACTCCGCGGACATTACTATCTGGTATCGGCCATGATGGTCTGATCCCATCGCACGGTTTTGATGATTCGTTGACATTGCGACGGCGCAGCTGCCAGTCTGCCAGCGCCTTGAATCGTAAAGCTTGAGGGATCTGGGATCAGGGGAGGACGAGGTGTGGATCACCAGAGATTGAGGGATCTGGCCTCGCGGTCTGAAGCTCGGGACGCTGACTGCCTGAAGCGAATGGGGCCGCAGCGCGAACCTCACGCCCTGAAGGGAGGAGCACTGGAGCAGTCCGGGAGAATTATGTTTGATTGCCGCTTCTAGGGCACACAGGGCTCTTCATCTTGGGGGCGAGAATTGTCAGTTCGTACCCTTCTAGAACACTGGCGACCCGAAGATCAGAAAGTTGCCGAACTGTTTATATCAGTGATCTGCCCGCAAAGTTGGGCCCTCTTTGGTCCGAAAATGCCGATGCTCTCTGAGACTCCAATACCAGTGATCGAACTGATGTTCTCCCAGCAAGTGATAGAATATGCCGGCTATGGTGTTTCCGCGTACCGTTGCCGACGGAATCCCGCCGCCCGCAAAGTCCTGTGCATGACCTGTGGCTGTGGGGGAAGAGGAACGGAGGTGGGAACACGGCGGGAGTTCGGTCCATTGTGAGGAAGGCGGCTTGGTTGGATCCAATGGTTCCTCGGTGATAGTGCGTAAGTGTGGATAACGAGCACTGTGCGGGGTAAAAAGCTCGATTTCTTGTTCAAGAAGCCCTCCGCAACTCAAATCAATAAAAGGTGCTCCGTAGAACAAGGCCGATCACGTTGACAGCGACCGGCTAGGAAACCTCCAGAGTAGGGCAGGTATGCTGACGACACCTACAAACTACAGCATGGCGGTACCGTAGAAACTCGAGCAACTCGAACTTGCGCTAGCCCGTGCCAGCCCTGCTAGCGCTATGGCAGAATCGTAATACTGCCTAAAGTGGTTAAATGCGGCCGCCACCTATTTTTGGCGTAGGTTAACATTTCGATCGATCTGACCAATGAGAGCTCGCCGTCGAGGCCGGACCCACAATTGATATAATTCAATAATTATTTTGGCTTTCTCGTCGGTTTTGAGCTTTTCTCGTCGAATTGGCAAAAAGGGCAAAAGTGTCAATTGGAAGCAGTCGTACGTAAGCAACCGAGCCCCTGACTGTCCCCTGGCCCACTGCCTCCAACGGGCCCCTATTCATACGGCGGTTGGACTGTCGGGTCGACGAACTGCCCATTGATGCCATCACGGACTTCCTCTGCTGTGAAAATGTACTCTAACCCGTCGTTCAGAACAGCGAAGTCTGGAATCTCCTCTTGCAGCGTCTCCTGCTCAATGTGGGCTTCTACGTCGAAGAGCTCCCACCCAGTGTAATCGATGGCCTCGGCGGGCACGTCTTTGATCCGGATCTCGTCGACCTGGCTGCCATCGGGCCGAATAGATATTCCGCACTGCAGGAAGGCCTGGCTGACCATTGAGCCCTTCTCGTGGGCCAATTTAGCGGCTGCCGTCTCGACTGTTTTGGTGACCATTATTCTCTTCATACCCGTCTCCCACTTGAGCTCCTCCTGCTTATTCAGCGCTTTTTCTTCCTCGTCGAGTACGTAAGCGTCGGTTGCTTCTGAAAGCCACTGCTTGAAGGGCTTATTGACTGCGGTATCGAGAGGTTGGAGGAGGGAAGTGGTCCCTGGCGGTATGAGGCAGGGTGTGATGTGGTGCTGACGTAATAGCGCAAGGATGGAATCTGTCTTATGGAAGGAAGCGACATCCATTACCAATAGGTACTCGTCTCCCTTAGTCAGCGCTACCAATTCCTCTTCAATCCATCTTTTGAACAAGTACTCATTGTTGTAGGCAGTCTTGTTGAACTCAACTGTCACTCCTTCTGCGTATAATAGGCCCTCTTTTTTCCATAATTGACCCCCTTCCTCTGCGGGCTTGCCGTGGAATATTATTTTCGGTTTAATTCGTTGTATGCCGTCGGCGAAGATGTAGAGTATTAATGTGGCCTGCCGCTTGCCCCAACCGCTGCGGTCGCTCTTGCCAGCCACGGTTTTGGCCCCGACGTCGTCGTATGTGTAACCGTCTAGGTATTCGAAAGGAACTGGGGTCTCGTCGAGGTTGAGAATTCGCGAGTTAGGAAATCGACGGGCTGGACTTCCGAGTAAATCTCCGACGTTAGACCGCTTCACCTTAGCCAGGGCCATTTGATTAACTCGTCGGATAAAGGAAAGAAAGCTGTTGACAACTTTGAAGTACTCAGTGGGTAACTTCGTTGCCTGTTTGGTAAGTCGACGTCGGGTAATTCTCATACGATTCTGGAAGCCACGAAACCAACCGGGGGAAAAAATAAAAAGATGTTTGCTGTTCGGGTTCTGCTGGGCGAAAATCCGCTTAGCGGTCCTTTTGAACCAACTGGTACTAACGAGCTTTCCCTCACTTCGTCGCTGGCGGAAGGCGCCGTATAGCGCTGTCTCGAGCTCTGGCCACTGAGGGTGGTAGGCGTAGTTGGAGGACCGATTGACGATTGACTCGCGGTTCTGATACCAGGAGATAACCGTGCTTCGAGGGACTTTGAACCAATCTGCGGCTTCCTGGTATGTGGGACGTCTGTATATCCCTGGGAGCTCGGTCTCGCCCTGGCGCAGCCTCGGGGGGCAAATCGACTCTTCGTCGAGCTTCCTCACGCGGTGATGCTCTAAAAACATCAGGACGTTGACTTTGGTATCGTGGGTATAGTGGTGCTGGCGGCGCTTGATTGGGCCACTTCGCGGTGTATATTTCCGGTCTTTGATGGGGGTAGGAGCAGGCCCGCGGCGCTTAGCTGCTGGAGGTGTAATTGGCACTTTTGCCGTATTCGAATCCTTCTCGGCAAGGGCCCGTCGTGAGGGCATCGTGGGCACGTCGACGAGGCCCGTGGTGGAGGTGTAATTGGAGGTATAATTGACAGTATAATTGGTGGTCAAATCGGTGATGTAATCGGTGGAAGTGGGCAGTTGGGTAGGAGTAAAAAATGGAAAATAATCACTTACCGCCTTCCGTATACGGTTTAGTCGATTATATAATCGGATAAAACTGATCCCTCGAAAGGGCTTAGTGTGGGCCGCTAGCAGGGCTGGCACGGGCTAGCGCAAGTTCGAGTTGCTCGAGTTTCTACGGTATGTCGACGTGTCAGTTTTAGTTGGCCAAAAGGGTTGCAAGCCATAATTAGGCGGTGCATCCTTGTCGACAAGCCTAGCTGTTTAACTGTACGGATAGTCTGTTGGTAACGTGGTTGCAGCCTCTCGTAAGTAGGTAGTGGTTGCCAGGTTTCGGAGAGAGAGGCGAGGCAATGAGGTTCAAGGACACCCACCTCCGGAGTCGGTACCTGGTTAGCGGGTAGGCAAGTCGGACTAGGGCGGCCCCCAGAGGCGAAGAAAGGCAGCGAAGAAAGATGAAGAGCGACCATCTAAGACGTTAACCGATCAAATCGCATTTCGAGAGAGGCGGGTTGCGGCCTCAGCTGACGTAACTACTGGACCCGAAGCTGCGAGTAGCCGCTGAGGCTAGATGCGTCCGAGGGGAGAAAGTGTCCGTAGCATAGAGGGCAATTACCGACGCGATGCTTCTTTGTTGAGGTTTTGCAAGCATGGCACGTTCATACGAGCCTCGAGAATGTCGTTCCAACGTGATGAAATAGGGGTTTATCTGCAGGCTCGCGGGAGCGAGTGTGAGTTTGTGTAGGGACCCGTATGCCAGGGCGAGAGATTTATTGCTGCTAGAGCGCGCGAAAGAGCAGATCTGCGGTCCACTTGGCACCTAGGGTATAAATTGGTGAACGGTCTCGGCCTTGACCATGGGGTTTGCTCTTTGGGATAGCAGGCATGGAGAACATGCAGAAGTAGAAG